AAGAGAGAAGAGGACAGATTGGAGGAGATCGGCGGACGGAAAAACTGCAAAAATGACGGATATAGCCGGATATAATCAAATATATACAGCGTGTCTCAGACACACGCCCGTTGCATGAAGAGACCTTCGAATGATATCCAAGTCGTTGATAATTGTTGAACAAATCCATGAATCCAAGTTGGAAATTGGAGATATATCTCGTTGAGAAACCCTTTATCGACACCTGAAGAGGTATTTCAGTGATACGATCAAGGTCGATCTGACATCCTCGAAGAGGGGCTCTGGTGTAGTAGAGCCAAATATGATCGTGCCGAAACCGCAAACTGTTTCTTTGTCTCCTGTTTTTGTACACGTTGTATTTCTTTTTTTCTTTCTTTTTTTTTTACGTTATTCTTAGCATCGGTCAGTAGAGACGACAGGGAGAGGGACGAATCAACATGACACCTGGACGATTGACGGTCTCGTCAATCAGTCAGGCTTTCGCCAATTTTGGCGCAAACGAAGCACAAAGCCACAAAAATGTTAGCGCGTACGCATTTCCCTTCACCGCGTTTCTCACCGTACACGATCTCTATATACTGCCACCAAATTTTCTACTTTTATATGTATAACATTATATGTACCGTGTATGTATCCTCGCCCCATTGTGCATTATCAAGAGCATTGTAGGCAATTCGGTTCACTCGCGGGGATTTAGATTGTCCGATATTTCCCGGGATTTTCTTAACTTTCATTCATTATGAATATGTCGGATCGCCTGTGATATACTTTTGTGAGAATACTTGATTCGGCGTCGGCGACGAATCTCCTTCTATACGTTAATGGTGTGTTTAACTAAAATACTTGATATTTTTATATAAGTCATCGATATATATTTAGCGAACGATATTAGCCTCTAATAAGTTTACCATATTTGGTTCACGCTCTCTGATAAATATATATATATATATCTTATGAGACGTTAATTAATTCGGTATTAAAATTTATCGTATCGAAAACTAGCTGACCGTCGAAAGAAGCGGCTTCGTTTCCGCGTTTTACCAGAATAATTTCACGATCGTAAAAATAGTGTGAACGAAGCTCTTAGATTATTCATCAGTGAACACCACGACGGGCGATATAGTCATCACAAGTGAACAAAATGGTTGTGGTTGCATTTTTCGCGGTCGAAGTTTAAACTGAAAAAAAAAAAAAGAAATCTCAAGAGAGACTCGATATAGAGCAGGGTAATTTCGCGACGTTGTTCGCCTAACAAAAACAAATTGAGCGACGTTTCGGTCTCGCGAAAGATCCTCTTGTTCTCTGAAAAAATGCTTCACCCGAGAGACCCGAGAGACTTTGTGTTTACGAGGCACGTAATTAATTAAAGATCCGGCCCTTCAAAAGGGACATTTGCATCCGCAAGATCTTTATTGTAGCGTGCCGCAGAGTACAAAATTGTTTCTTGAAATTTTTTGAATCCCTTTATCGACACACTTATCGAACATTCGCGCACTTGGAATAACTGCGCCGACGACATCGACGTATCTTCGTCGTATTTCCATCGCGAGCAGTTGGCACACGGAGAGGCGCACATTTAAAAAAAAAAAAAAAAAAAGAAACAATGTTAATGACGAGAAGTCAATGACGAGGGAGACCCGTATTCGAAATCAATACGAGCAATTGTGTATAGAGAATATTTTGTTTCGGACCTGCCGAGTATCTTGAATAGCGCATACTCGAGGAGTTTTCGTGAACGTAAGCGGAAGTTACGCACTATGATGCAAATTGTATGACTAAAAGACGTACGTAAGAGCAGCGCGAAGGAAGTCAACGATGACTTTGCGATGATGATGATGACCTCAAAAGGAGTTATTTTTGGCGGGAAACGATTTCGTACATGTCCTTTGTCCTTTCAACTAAATATTCTCGCAGACGGTATGATGTTTGAACGTCAAGACTTTCCATTGCGAATGGCTTAATTCTTTGAGGGGCGACGGTGCAGCTTAAGTACTTCACGTATAAGTCACAGTATAATGTATTAGGTGCCACGACATTTGTGCTATGTTGGTGCGATGTGGTTTGATTTATAAACTACAGTGCCTAAGTTTTGCTCTAGTACTTGCTTCTCTTACGGAGACCCTGCACAAAATGCGCTGACTTTCTCAGCCCCTGAAAGAGTTAAGGGAGAGAGAGAGAGAGAGAGAGAGAGAGAGAGAGAGAGAGAGAGAGAGAGAG